CGGCGACTTTGCAGCTCTCCGGCGACTGTCACCTGACAGAGATGAGCTGGATGGAGGTGGGGCACGTGTTAGGGAGCTTCATCCTCAGGTCCGCGCAGCAAGAGGAGGCTCTTCATCGCATTTGGTACGCTCTCAGGAGGTGGCGACTGGTCTCCCGGCGGATCGTCCTCTTCCCGACGACGGCTTGTTCGTCGATCAATCAGAGATGATTTACTCGATAGATTCGCGATCCTTTTATCGCGAATTGTTCAGCAATTTTAGTAGCAATGCTCCGCGAATCGCGTTGACGAGATTTTCGCTGATGATCTAGCGATTCTCGTTGCTTAATCCTTTACCAGCGATCTGTAGGAAAGTCGCGATAATCAGATAAAAATATATGAATTTTGACTTTGGGAGGATTCGAACCCGCGCCGGTTGCCTACCTCTTCTGAGGAAGGTGTGACGGGGGTTTAGTCCCACATCAGTTGTACGCCGATTTTTCGGGCGAATATATAGTAATGTTAGCTTTGTGAGCAAAGTCCCTTCTCTCGCGTGGATGACCACTCTTTGCCCCACAGCCGGCTGGCCACCGGTGACGTGGAAGGGGAGTGGCGTACGCGTGCCCTGTCGGTCTCCAAGCCAAGCCGCTCGAGTCCGTGCACACGGCTTACTCCCCGACTGCGCTTTCGACCTGCTTGCGGGCCCGGTTGGCCGGCTGGTCCCCCCATTTTTGCAATATTTTTATTTTTATTTCTTCTTCTTCATTTATCTCAAAAATAAGACTGTAAAAATCGTATAAAATCACATAATTACCCAAAAATTCACGTTAATCAATTGAAAACCAAAAATCATTCTTTAACACAAATATAAGTCTATTTATCATGAGTTAAGGCTAAAACTATATTGTTTACTAATTATTAACTCATGATAATGAAGACTTATCACTCGTCCTATCTTGTCTACATTCTCCTAATGGCGGTGGAAATGAGTTGAGAAAACCCTTCGAAAGATAATTAAACTTAAGTAAGAAGGGGTACGGAGTTAACCTTCGGGGCTGCATAGCCTGACAGGTCATGACAGAGTGGAGACTCGACGTAAGTAGAGATGTTTGGTGAAGAGCGATGCTCATCATCGATAGGTAGTCCTAGTCGAGAGTCTGAGTAGTCATTGTCATAAGGCGTGGCACGGTTGGCACGGGCGAGGGCCTGCTGGTGGGCTGAAGGGCACACTAGTGGGCATGCACGGCAAGCCACGCAGCGTGCCTCAAGGCACGTGGGTGGCGGCGCCGGTTGGGCACGTGGGCTGCAGGAGTTGGTGTGCAGGGCGCACATGGCAGTAGTACTTCGGCGAGAATGCCGAGCGTCAATAGTTGGGTGGAAACCCAACCGTCACCAGAAGGATCGACCTTCTCTAGTGGCACCAAGAAGTGGAGCAAAGGAAGGAGACGATTCAGCCGATGATACCAAGAAGGGTTGAGCCCTCTTGGTCTAGGTAGTGCTAGAAATGGCATGACAGGGGCAGATCATCGAGAAACTCCAGCAGGGGCCTGTGAGGAGCTTGGATTGGATCTGGCTCATTGGCATGGCTGCTAGGTCTCTCCTGACATTAACGGCAGGTAGACATTCGTCGGCGAACGGCGAGCGACTAGGTGGAGCGGCAGATGGGGGCTTCGGCGAGTTTATGGTGGAGTTCCGAAGGAAGAGGTGATAGTCGAACTAAGAGTTAAGAGACTCTGGTGGAGTGCTCAGTGACGGCTCGTAGGGAGGCGAAGCAAGCCCCTTTCATCACGACGACGTGACAAGGTTCCAGCAGATGTGGCGACAGTTGTAGCGGCAACTGCGACCATTTTGTCTAGTGACGTCGGCAATCTCACAGGCAACAATGAAGATGTTCGATGGTGGGAGTTGGTCTCAGGTGGTAGCAAGACTTCTTAAGCAGCAGCGTCACGATGAACGAAGTCCTCAAAAGATATCGACGGCCTCCCTCTCCCTCCTTCCCTCCCTATCCTAGGTCACGAAGAAGGTAACTCACAAACGATAATCTCTCACAAAATTTGGTGCTCTCCTTGAGGGGGGGTCCTACCTCCCTTTATATAGGGCCCACAAATGTGCTAAGGGGAGGTGGGCCCACTTGAGGCCCTCAAGCCCATAAGCCACAAAAGGTTACAAAAGAAGCTTATTGGGCCTCTAAAAAAGAGACCCAATAAGCTCCCTAAAAGAAGAAAGAGGAGGGCCCTCGTACAGTGCTTAAGTGGGCCTCAAATGAAGACCCAAATAAGCCCCAAAAGAGGCCCCCAAGGAAAGAAACATAGGTCTCCCCCCTTAAGATTTTAATTGGGCCTCAAAAGAGAGACCCAATAAAACCCTAAAGAAAGGGAGACACAAACAACAACACACACATAGAATTGGGCCTGCTAACACACAAACACGAGGCCCAACAAGTCAACGTGAAAATACAAAGAAAGATAAGGGTGAGCTTGAGCTCATCGTCGTCGCAGAGATGGAATGTCATTGTCCCGAAGGGCTAGGCTATGTAGCAAAAGTCAGGCTCCTTTGTCTTCACACGTTGATCGGGCTGAACTTAGACTATTGGTGTCTCCTAAGTTGATGGAGACAAGTCCCGCTCGTCATCAGGTTCGAATTCATCTAGAGTCAAAACTCATTCTTTTTATCTAATTAAATCATGATTTTCCTACAAATCATAATTCACAAGGCAAATCGACATGGGTACCGTCTTCAATGTAGCAAAAACATAGCAAAATGAGGCTCTTCAATGTAGAAAAAATGCAGCAAAAGGAGGCTATTCAATGCATCCAGTATGCTCTAATGAATTTTTATTTTTGTAATTTCATTGTTAAGTGACTATCAATGATTTAAGTTGGGGGGTGTGAAAAGTTTTCATTATCATAAGTTAATAATTAATAAGTAATATAGTTTTAGCCTTAACTCATGATAAATAGACTTATATTTATGTTAATTTGTGAAAAGTGATTTTTAGTTTGTTAATGTGATTTTTTGGCTAATTATATGATTTTATATGAGTTTATATAGTTTTTATAATCCTATTTTTAAGATAAATAAATAAAAATAAAATAAAAAATAAAAAAGAAGGGACCCGCTAGTCAACTGGGCCCACAAGCAAGTCAAAAGTATAATTGGGTGGAGCTGCAAGTTAGGGGTCAAACACCTATAGACTAATGGGACACATGTGTGTCACTCCTCTTCTATGTCATTAGTGACTAGCCGACTATGGGACAAGGAGTGATCGTTACACACACAAGAAAGGTATTTATTAATTTTCAAATGTCACATTACCATATATACATCTCAATATTTGGCGTATAACTGATGTGGGACTAAATTGGTGGTCACACCTTCTCAAACTATTTTCACTATAGTGATGTCACAATATAAGAGTATTCAAGTACTTGTTCACTCTCTCATGTAGGCGAGTGGTGACTTAGTCGTTATATAATAAATTATGTAAATTTAAAATTGATAAAACTAGAAAATACAAATTTTTAGATATTTAAAAATATTTCTAAACAAGTATATTAATTATAATTCAAGAAGACTTCTAAAAATAATAATGGACGGCGAGCATGGCACATGGCTCTTGTCTCCCACCCAGGCTTCCTTGATCATGTAGTAAATTATAACATGTATGTAGTAGAAAAGAGTAACTTACCTCACATATTGGCTAGTTGGTAAGATAAGTAGATGCATTTATTTTGATGACGAACCATTGAGTTGGTTCACAACCAAAGCTAATGATTCTCACGGAGTAAAGTCTCACGGGTTGGGGATTACTCCAAAATTCTCACGGAGTAAAGTCTGAACACGGGTTGGGGATGAGGCAGGAACTCACTCATAAATGCAGAAGCAAGAACTTTTTGCCGAAACATATTTTACTGCAACCGAGCAGGTCACGTCAGAATCAATGAATGGCGCCCGCACGCCGTATGAGTTCCGCAATATCCTTGTGGGATGAGGCCAATCAATACCAAAGTCAATTAATGTTCCCACGGGGTGCTTGTCATAAGCCGGTAGCTCTCACTTTCAATTTAATTCTTAACATGAGGTGATCTTTAGTGGACTTCGTTGCCTACCCGTGACCTAGCTCGGTTTATGAAAGAGATGAACCTTGAAGTATTTATGTGACGGAAAGGAAGGAGAAGGGAACCTTTCTTCACATTGTGTGAGCACATTAGCAAGGGGTTGGAGAAACTCCAGAGAGGGGTCAGTAAATGTTGTTAACTTATCAATCTGAGAGCTTTCAGTGGAGATTAAAGTCAGTGGTTTATAATCTATTTCAAATTCCCATTAAGGGAAAACCTCTTTGATAGATATCCGGTTCCTTTACAGCGACTCTAAATTCTCTTACAGCTTCCCGCATATAGTTTCATCAAAGAAGCTTCTCTCTCTCTCTCTCCTTCTCACTCGCTGGCTCGTTGGTTCTCTCTCATTTGAGAGAAGCCGTTGGATGTCGACGGGGTACGGTCTACCTATAAAATCATTGACCGATCCAATGAATGGGATGGATTCGCTCGCGTGCCACTCGCACGTACGCGACCGCGTACATATGAACACTGACGTCGATTGAGGAAGCGGGATGAAAGCAAAGAGAGAAAGGGAGGCAAGGAGGAGGGAGGGGTAGCTTGAGAGAGAGAGGGGTAGTAAGAAAGAGAGATAGGGAGGTAGTGAAAAGGACAGAGACAGGAGTAAAATACAGATAGGGACTGTTAGTAAGAGGGAGAGAGAGACCGAGAGACAGACGAGCAGGCAAGGGCAGTGTGTATGCATGTGTGTGTCTCTGTGTACGTGTGTGTGTGCGTGTGAGAGAGAGAGAGAGGGAGGGGGTTCATCTACCCCTGATATTTCTCTTCACCTACATGCAGAGTAGAACCTCCACCAGTCGAATGATTTCTGGCGGAAAGCTCGACTAGACCGTTTAATTTAGACTATTTCATCTACTTATACGTAAGAAGAGAGAGAACAGCCTGGGACACTTGAAGAACAAAAATGGAGCTCTTCTTTGGAGGGACGTTGCAGTCCCAACCCTCATGGGTTCTGCTTCTTTCATCCGTTGGAGCGTTCGCTGTCTTAAGGTTCTCATTCTGTGTCCTCAAATGGCTCTACATCTTCTTCCTCCGCCCCGATAAGAACCTCCTCGACTACGGCCGATGGGCGGTCATCACCGGCGCCACCGACGGCATCGGCAAGGCACTCGCCTTCGAGCTGGCTCGCCGAGGCCTCAACTTGCTCCTCGTCGGGCGAAACCCCGACAAGCTCAGCGAAGTCACCGGCGAAATCCAGGCCCAAGTCCCCACCGTTGAGGTGCAGACCGTCGTCGTCGACCTCTCCGGTGACCTGTCCAAAGGAATCCGAAACCTGGAGACGGCGATCGAGGGCATCGACGTAGGGGTTCTAGTGAACAGCGCGGGGATCTCGTATCGTCACACCATGTTCTTGCACGAGGTGGAAGAGGATCTTCTGATGGGCCAGCTGAAGGTGAACCTTGAGGCCTTGACAGCAGTCACGAAGGCAGTGCTGCGGGCGATGCTGAAGAAGAAGAGGGGGGCCATCGTCAATATTGGCTCCGGCTCGACCGTGGCTTTACCATCTCACCCCCTCCTGGCCGTTTACGCGGGGACAAAAGGGTAAGTCCTTTCCCCTCTTGCTCCTGTTCTTTATTTCCTTTGTCCAGATATATGGATATTTGGATGAGACCATTTTTACAAGACCAAAAACTACACATATTGATATTGTCACCAGAAATAATTCCAGAAATATACATACATATACAGAACCCAGAAGACAATAACTCTTCTCTCTTACCTTCCGCTGGACTCCAGGCATTGGGTGATGTATATGATTATAATCAAGCAGAGGTATGCCTTGCCTTCAAATAGTACTTTAGGATCTATTTAAAATTCGTACAAGAACCTTTGCCTGTTACACTTTCAAATTTAAGCTAAAGCCTGCGTTCCATAATTTCTATCCTTACAACCTTCATATAATCTATATATTTTCTAAAACGTGTGCTAGAATAGAAGTCTGCACGAAATCCATTGGGTGTCCTAGAACGCAATAATATCCGTTTACCCAAGCCATTTCACTCTAAGCTTGCATAAAATAATTTATTTCTATGATTTTGACAAGACTTTAGCTATGGATTCCCTAATCGTATTTAACTTCTTTTTCAGCTATGTCGATAGTTTATCAAGATGTTTGCACATAGAGTATAAGGAGGAAGGTATCCACACACAATGCCAGGTAGGCTAGTCTCTTCATTTCTTGCTGTATCTTTATTACATTTGCGTAATCCATGTCCATGTATGCTGTAAACTCTACAGAAACATTTTTCTACAAAAAGTGACACTAAGGTAAAAAGTAATAAATGCCTGATTTCCTTTCGTGGGCCTCTTTCAGGTGCCATTTTATGTAGCAACAAAGATGGTGGCGTTCAGACAATCTTCCTTTTTCTCACCGATTCCAACACAATATGCTAAGTCAGCTGTAAAATTTATTGGCTATGAATCAAGATGTATGACTTATTGGCCTCATTTTCTTCAATGGTGTCTCCTTACATTAGTGCCAGATCGGATTATCAATGGCTTCCGACTGCAACATGGTCTTAGTCGGAGAAAGAAATCTTGAAGTTTAGACAAACAGGTTTATTTTCTTTAGTTTCCCTTGTGGAGGTCTCCCCAGTGAACTAGTGGACCTTTGTGGTGATTGATCTGGCACATTTTTGTCTTAATATATTATTCCGAAGACAGTGACGAGACTTTTATGCTTTGAATCGAATATTGTCCATGATTGTCAGACACAAGGAAGATCTATTATGTGGAACTTGTAATTTTGTATGTAAGGTTCTGTATGTGATAATGTGTTTCTCCCATCATATTTTAAGACGTAAACCCAGAAGTGTGGATGTTTTCTACCTAGAATACCTCTATCCAGCTTCCATATACGTGAATGTACGTGTAACATATGAATAACATTTATAACGGATAACCTTTATTGGAAACATTCTGAATGTTAAATATTCTATGTTCATAGGATTTCCATTCTCCACACCCTTTCCTATTTGTAGTATGCTTTGAAAATAGAATTTGATGATGATATGACAGAAAGGATACTTACAATTTTGACCAAAATTGTCGTCTCAGTTTTAATTTTCCTTCTTGGGTAATGAACTTAATGTTAAATGTTCTATGTTTGTCATATATCCGTTAGCCAACCCTTCCCTATTAGGACTATAGTTTCAAAATGGAACCAAATAATATGATCGAAGGGACGTTCACAGAGCCAACCAAAATTGTCTGGTGAGTTTTAGCCAGCCTTTCGATCAGTTGGACAAATGTTGGGATTTCCATTGTTCAATTGAATTCACATCGTGATATCCGTAGCAATATGACCTTGGGACTATGAATGAGTTGATGGGACGTCCAAAAAATATTTATTATCAAGGGTTAATAATGATTTGAAATATTCATTGTATGAATTAAATCATGATAAAGACATCAAAGATCCAAGAAAATATGACTCTTTTCCAAAGGGGTTTGGATAAACACGTCATGATATATCTAGGAGAGTAATAAATGAATGAAAATAATGATGTAATGACCATCTGCGACGAATAAAGCAAAGGAAATAATATTACCGAGTGAATTTTCTTAGATGACAGTCAAAACATGATGACGACTCTCTGGAACAATTTGCAGTGTCTTCAAAAGAAATGAAAAAATAAAAAAATTGATAACATGAGGTGGAGAAGCGAATTTACAGGCCTGACTAATAAAAATGTCATTTTATTTTTTCAAATTACAATGTACACTCAACTGATGGGAGACCTTTTGAAATTGAAATGTATTTAAACTACGGAATAAGTTATTTCAGAAAAGCTCTACCGCTCAGCAGAACGTAATGTACTGTTGTCTGCCATCTCTCTTTTCATCAGTTATCCCGTGCTCCTCTCTCTCTCTTTCCCCTCTCCGTCGCTGTGTCTTTCCACTTAATTTCTGTGAAACTCCTGTCCCATGTTTGAGTGTGAATCACTGGTTTCAAAGAGATCTCTCTGTCTGTCTGTCTCGACACATACGTTTGTCTATCTATATTCACCAGATAAGCATATTCCAGCACTCTATTGCACTGTGAAACGAGATTTTCGTTCATCGAAATTCTGACGTCCCAGCCGTCGCGGCCTATCCTTTACTTCCTCCCTGGCACACTAAATGAATGGGATATGTACCTGCATATATTAATTATTTGTTTTCTCCCTATTCATTCTATACCTATCGAGGTACGATCGGCAGTCATCACAAAAATAGGGGAAGCCAATGGAACGCTCGCTCCTAGAAACCCTTCAGTCCCAACCCTCCTGGGTTCTCGTCTGCTTGTCCCTGGGTACACTCTCAACGTTTAGATTTTTCATATCCATCCTCCAATTGGTTTACATCTTCCTCCTCTCATCGAAGAATCTCATCGACTACGGACAGTGGGCGATTGTCACCGGTCCAACCGATGGGATTGGCAAGGCCATGGCGTTTGAGCTGGCCCGGAGAGGTCTCAATCTCGTCCTCGTCGGCCGGAATCCCGACAAGCTCAGCCGAGCCTCAAGCGAAATGAAGGCCGAAGTACCCGGCGTGGAGTTGAAGACTGTCGTCATTGACTTGTCCGGCGACCTCAGTGAGGGGATAAGAAATCTGAAAGACGTTATCAAGGAGATCGACGTGGGGATTCTGGTGAACAACGCAGGGCTTTCACAGAAAAAGCCGATGTTTTTCCACGAGATTGATGAGGAGATGTGGGGGAAAATCGTGAGAGTGAATCTGGTCGCGCCGACGGTCGTCACCGCGGCGGTATTGCCGAGTATGCTTCAGCGAAGGAGAGGTGCCATCATCAACATTGGCTCCGGATCGACAGTGATTCCGTCGTTCCCGCTCTATGCTGTATATACCGGGACCAAGGGGTAAGCTCTCTCCTCCATCTTCGGTTTGTATATGAACCTGGTGAGCTCCAGCTTACGAGGTCTAACCCGAGCTTTGGCAAGCCCAGTCTAGTCCAAGCTAAACTTTAGTTCGTAATTTGTTGAATAATTTTAGCTTGTACTGTGCTTAGTTTCCTGCAGGAGAGATACTACTACTATATAAATATAATGGGGAACACCTAGACCCCGCCATTACTGTCCTCTTCGGGACCCTTCACCTGGACACGGACCATGTTGTTTACTTTCCTATTTCCCTCCCATTACATATGTGGCAGCCGGCCCTACATCATGATAATTACTCGTCCGTCTTGGTTCACGTCTTAATCCATGGATTGGGATTTTCGGCTTCTCTTCTTAAGTCTTTAATTTCTGGTCCCAAGGCTTATATTTTATTTAACAGAGGTTAGGTTTATCTCTTAACGCAACATACATCTTTTGACTTCTTTTCCAATATGTCTTCGCTCATTCTTCTGGTTTTGTTTCTCCCTTTGTTATTTTGACTCATCCAAAGCTGCGGAGTCATGCTTGTAGTTCTTTCACTTTCACAAGGGATATTATTAACCGTTTTATCGCGAAACCTGTGATTCTTTTATTTGTTTGAAAGAATGTGAAAAGAATCATGTGTTTCCTATGACAAAGGGATCTCAGCCGTATTTCTTCACAGATCAGATATCGGTTTTCCCTGTCTTTGGTACAGTATCTGTTAGGGTACATTATTAAAAGATTGGGCAACGAAATAATAGTAGAAAGAATAATCTTCTCAGTCATTCTCTGTAGATATTTCGCTAATAATTTATTTTCTTTTTTCAACACGAATTTCTGATTCGGTTGAAACATTTGCACTTCAAAGCTACTGGTAAAACCATCCCTAAATTTTACTTTACTATGTATTTGAAATAATATTATTCAGGCAAAAAAAATACCTGTAAAGAATGTCCTCAGTTGAAAAGTCAAGATGCGCACAATACTTTGAAAGGCTAATGAAACTTGAGGAATGCATAAAATAGAAAAAAATTGGCCTAGTAGAAGCCTGCTAGAATAACTTATAACCATTATTTTCTTAGTTCTATTTTATATTTTTTTGGGATAATCTAGTGCTTGGAATTCTTTGACATTTATCAGGTACATTAGTAGTCTTTCTAAGAGTTTGCACGCCGAGTACAAGCAGAGTGGGATCCACGCCCAATGCCAGGTTAGCATAATGTTGTACCCTTATTCCTCAAGACTAAATATAAATCAATGGATCACTTGCAGTACAACCTGCATGTTACTACATTCCTCTATTTCGTCAGTAAGATTGATGCTTGCGAGGGGAGATTATTTTGATAATGTACGTACAGTGACATCCGCAGGGCTGGCTAGTGGGTGTGACATTATCTAGCTTGAGCCCCGATGACTTTTAAAAGGCCTAGGGCTCTGTCGTTAAAGCATGCGAAAAACAGTAGTTCTAGGACACAGATCATTTGAAGCCTTGAATCGGGGAAAATAAGTCAGACCTGATCGTCGTTTGTACACATGGTACATGGACATTACTGATGCACTCACAAAGAGAGAGAGAGAGAGAGAGAGAGAGAGAGAGAGAGAGAGAGAGAGGGAGAATTGGGGGTTGGGGCATGTCTGAAGATGGTTCCTACCAAACTCCCACGCCGGTATTGAGTGGTCTGTGCCTACTGTCTGGGAATCTAGTTAAAGTAGGCCTTCTACAGGAGTATTTCACCAGTAGATTGATAATATACCCTAGAGGCGAACACAGTTAATTCTTTCATTCAGACGGTCCTTTATGACATTTAACAATCCAATTGACTAAAACGTGGCATTGGGTAGGCAAGGAGAATGCGGTCTAACTAAAGCCATGGATTCTAGTAAATTTTTGCACTTAAAATCATTCGAACTATTGATTTGGTTTTATTGTAATAATGGATGTTAATTTGCCGATCATCTGAAGTCAAGCCTATTTGAGAAGGTTTCCGCTAGATTATTATGCAGACGGGACTAAGCTTCATACAGCCGAAAAGTTTGAGCTTTTATGACCATAATAGCGCGGCTATTTAGTGAAAGTCAGTTTGGAAGCGTATCTAACGTTGTATGCATAAAAAAATTGAAAATTGTATGCATGTATCCGTGATTGAAAACATCCAAGCACGATCTGGCGTTGGATTCTGTTGTAAATTTCTTTTTTTTTCTTGCAGATTCCGTTCTATGTAGTCACAAATATAACGCCAACATTGAGGCCATCCTTCTTCATTGCCACTCCATCACAATATGCGTGTTCGGCGATACGGTGCATTCGTTATGGGCCAGAATGTATACCTTACTGGTCTCATTTTATCCTATATTATCTAGTTCAGCTATCGCCAGCTGATTGTATTGTTAATAGAGTGCTGTTAAGGTCTGCTCTTCAAAAAAGAATGAGCAATATCTATGGCAAAAAAGTAGAGTCTTTATCTTAAATATTTTCAATGCAGCAAACTGTAATGGACATTTAGCCTTTATTTCTCATCATATGTTGGTACATGGTAATCTCATGAAAGATGGTGCTGCAATCCCTTCAAAATTTTGTGGTATGGACATTTGATTTACTCAAGCATATGATACCATGGAGAGCGAAACAAATCAGGTTCCTATAGATTCCTTGTGATAACTTTAAGCAGAAAACACATTACTGTCAGTTATCCAGATTACTCTATTGATTTTGAGTTTTTCTTCTATTGAGAGGAAACCATATCAACTAATTAAGATTTTGACACCATGTTAAGTATAAACTACTTTACTTTTAATCAAATATTTAACCAAATTCTTAGGACAAATCAACATTGTCGCAAGACATTGTTACACATGAAGTTGGTGAACTATATGAGGCAATTCTAGCATATATTGAGCCTTTCCATGCTGCTGTACAAAAGTCTAACACTTGCACCATTAAATCGTAAATCATTTATGAGGAATTAAGGGTTGTCTGATTTTTTAAAAAATTAACTATTTTAAAATTGTGATAGTTTTTTTAATGCACAATAAATTATACTTGAAATATTTTTACTATGGCTAAAATATTTGAGAACTTACTTAATGGGTTCTGATAATATTTAATGAATACATTGGACTGGCTTAATTTCGAGTAAAAGAAAACCACAATATGAAAGTAAGCCAATGAAAGATAGCAAGCAAACTACTTTGTGGCTAAAATATTTGATAAGTACGTTAATGGGTTTTAAAAATAGTGCATGAATTGGTAAGATTAGCTTGGTTCCAGGTAAAAGCAAACCACAATTCTTCATGTAAGCCATGGAGTGACAACAAGCAGCTAAGTTATCAAGTTAGAAAGAGGAAGAGAGGAAGTGAGGAAGATGAGTGAGGGTGAAGGAGAGATAGTAGAAAGGAGGGGGTTTCATAATAAGTTTTTATTATCATGAGTTAATAATTTATTAAAAATATATTTTTAACTTTACTCGTGATAAATAGACTTATTAAATTGAGAAAATTAGTTTTTAGTTGGTTAATATGAATTTTTGACTAATTATATAATTTTCTATTATTTTTATTATCATATTCTTAGATAAATAAATAAAATAAAATAAAATATATAGAAAAGAAAGGACATGCCAACCAACTGGGCCTATAACAAGGTCGAGAGCACAATTAAGTGAAGATGTGAGCTGGGGGTTCAAGTGACTAAAGAATGGTTAGCAAGTCATGTGTGCATCACTCCCCTTCCATGTCACTTGTGGTCAACTTAGCATGGGTCAAGGAGTAGTCATATGCATGTAAAAAGATGATAGTAATGAAAACTAGTATAGCTATATTTGTTTGGGACATAAAAAAATAATTGATGCACGATTAAATTTGTACCAATGTTCATAAGTTTAATATCTATTTATACTTATAATACCCATACTCTATGAGAATGAAGCATCTCCATGATGTCACTAAGTAAGGGTATGAGCGTAATTGATTACTTTTATCTCATGTGGGTAGATATCGGCAAAGGTTTAAATCCTAGTAGAGCCAAAACTCATTTTTTATCTAATTAAATCATAATTTTTCTATATAATACTGGTCAATGATTAAGCCATCATAATCACTCAATCATTAGTGAAAATATCATTAATATAATTCACACACTATTGTTGCCAACTATTGACTGATTTTAGTTAAAAAATTGCAAATATATCAAATAACTCACCTCAAATTGATCAACGAACCAATCATCATTAGAAAGAAGATGATCTACCATGAGACAAGTTGTCACTTTCTTAGAACATACTAAATGTAATGAAAAGCTTCCTCTTGTTGTGTAGACATAAGCATGAAGCTTTCTAAACCACACCTTACTATCATTTCAACTAATTTTTGTTACGTGAAAGTCACTGAAGAGTCAAAAGTCATTATTTTTTCACTAAAGTAAGTGACAACTATAAAAGATGATCTAAAAGGAACCTTTGAGGCCATAAATATTGTACATTAATCTTATTGAATACATAGAATTTTAACAATTGTCACCACAAAGTTGAAACTCTACTTTTTTTATTTAAACTTAGTTATTTCTTAATTTAGTGATATTTTATGTGATTTAAAGTTTTGAAAACTTCTTTCATTCAATTATGATTGTTCTAACTTTTACAAGTCTTATTTTGATCAATTAAATCATTTGTAATCATTTACATAAGAATCACCAAATAAAACATTATTTTTGTTTGACTAATGTCATCTTGACATTTGTACCTAAATTTTCATTTTTTATAAAATTTTTAATACATTTTTATTTCATCATTTAGTCTAAAAATTATTCAAAATCATATTTTTTTGAAAAAATTATGAAATATTATCTTAGTCCCTATGATCAACTTGAAATTTTATTATTATTTTTGGAACCTTTGATAAAATTAGAATTGATTTATTTGTTCTAAAATATTTTGAAAAACCTATAAAATAATATTTTCTAGTTTTATAAATTTGAAATTTGTGTGAGGGAGAATGAGATTAGGAAGAAGATGATTAGTCACACTAGTTCTACTGGGGTTAAGGAAGACGGGGAAGAAGAGAGAGAGAAAGAGATGGAGAGTTAGATGTAGAGGAAATATTTGTAGAGGAATATGCAGATATTGACTGTCTCAACTACCTTGGTCCCTTGTGAATTTTATTGTAGTTTATGAGGATCATTTGAACTATTGTTGGCCTTATCTCCGAAAAACATAGAAACAAATAGCACATATTACTTCTCCCTCCTTTCCGTTTATCTTACAGGAACGTGGCCATTTGTGGACCACAGGTTCGACTGTTCACTTCCTACCCTAGCTTCTTTCTCTCTCTCTAATTGCGGAATTCTGCCTTTAAGCCTTTCCCTGTTCCTTTCCGTTTATACTGGTCCATCTGTCAGTCGACGTCAGGACTGCCATCGATCCAACTCTGGGTCAATAAATGCGGGCTGTCAGAACTTTAGTTGACATCGTCGCAGGGAAGACGATGGGGCTCTCCTTACTGGAAACCCTAGCATCTAAACCAACGTGGGTTCTCCTTTGTTCATCCGTGGGCACCTTCACCGTCCTAAGATTCTCCTTTTTCCTCCTCCGATGGTTCTACACCTACTTTCTCCGTCCCACCAAGAATCTGCTCGAGTATGGACGATGGGCGGTCGTCACCGGCCCCACCGACGGGATCGGCAGGACTTACGCCTTCGAACTGGCGCACCGAGGCCTCAACCTTGTCCTCGTCGATCACGTCCTGGAGAAACTCATTCAGGTCGCTACTGAAATCAAGACCGAACTGGAAACTGTCGAACTGAGGACAGCCGTCGTTGACCTCGCCGGCGACCTCACGGAAGAGATCGGAAGGTTGGAAAGCGTTATCAGAGACACTGATGTCGGGATTCTGGTTAATAAGGCGGGGGTAATAAATGTCAATCCTCTTTACCTCCATGAGATGAATGAGGCGATTCCGAGGAGCATCTTGAAGATGAATCTCGCAGGAATGACGAAGGTCTTGCGCGCGGTACTGCCGGGGATGCTTCGACGAGGGCGAGGGACCATAATCAACGTCAGCTCCGGGACAGCGGTGGTGGTTCCATCGTTTCTGCTCTTCTCCGTCTATGCCGCGACAAAGGCGATAAGCTTTCCTCCCTGCTCTACTTACGCGTTCGTCCCTGCTCTGCTTTCTTGATATGTCAATGTGGTCGTCTGTTGGATTGATAGCCATGCTTCTTGTTAGGCGTCATTTAGGGTTGTGGACGATTCCGAACCAACCTAAGACAATGGAAAGCCCTAAAAAATTTCAGGTTTTAGGCCCATGGATTTGGGCCTACTAGAAAAGACACCAAGAGTAAAAAACATTATCTATGCATGCTAGTGTTTTATTATTAAATTAATTACCATATAAATTGAGAGATATTAGTGTTCTTTTAATTTTGTATGATATTAGTGGATTTATTTTTTAGAATGTATTACTTGACACTAATACTAGTATTAATTTATTACTTACAAGTATTTACAATAAATTTAACATTTCTAATCTTAAACCTTCTACTATTTCCTTATAGTTTCATAAAAGATCTGTGAAAAATCCTAAAAGTATTTTAGAAAATATAATAGTGATAGTTAGAGGGTGTAAACTTCTAGTTAATTTTGTGGTATTAGAAATTAATTTTAATTGACAGTTTCACGATACCCCAATCATCCTAAGGAACCATTTTTGCATATAGCAAAGAAGAATATTGATTTTCTCACGAGGATTGCAAAACTTTAATGTAGAGAATAATCAGTACAAATTAAAATTTTTGAGATATGAAATGATCTTAAGAAATCCAAAGTATATGATTGTAATATTATAGATCTTTTAGATGATTTTGATGATTCAAATGTTATTGATGACTATGTGTTGGAAGAAAGAGGAAATAGAGAATATAAATTTAGGAGAAAAGAAAGAAGAAGATCATTTGAATTTAGAGTTGAAACTTCTTCCATCTAATTTAAAATATGTATGTGTAGAGGAAAATAAGTTATTTTCTATTATTACTGTAGCTAATTTGAGTGACAAATAAGAAGAAAAATTATTACATGCACTTTAAAAATATAAGAAGGCTATTGACTAAAAAATGAACAATCTTAGGGGCATTGATATGATTGTATGTATGCATAATATATATCTAGAAGAAGGGGCTAGAACTAATAGGGAACCACAACAAAGGTTAAATCTAATATGATGAAAATTATAAAGAAAAAAATCTTAAAATAGTTGGCCACTAATATTTTTTATCATATTTTTAGATAGCAAATGAGTTAGTCCTACACAGGTGGTGCCAAAAATTCAAGGATCATAGTTATAAAAAATGAAAATAAGAATGAAATACAAACAAGATTAACTACTACTTGGATGGTTTGTATTGATTATAGAAAATTAAATTTAGTAACTAGAAAGGATTATTTTCCACTATCATTTACTGATCAAATTCTCAAAACAT